GCTCTCAGCGCCGGGGGTCGCCGGCCGAGTGGCTTTTCGTGGGCTGATGTGTCAAAACGCGACGGGTACAGTCACCAGAAGGGAACCGTCTCTGATGAAGAGGGAAAGGTTCTTGTAATGGATTCCTTTCTGTCTCGCTCCTCTTAAGAAAACCTCATCATACTGTATGGCCCATCATATTTTATTGCTGATATATCGACATTGCGCTATAGATCCAAGGAAGATTCACAGGCTCTAGGCATTTTTTCCTTTGTAGGCTGTAGGTTTTTAATTTTTATTTTTTTTTTAAACAAATAGTAGCAATTCCCAGTACTCATTGTTCGGCGGCAGAAAGTGATTTTAAAGCCTTTTGTAGGGTGGCAAAATAACATCCCATAGTATCAGAAATATACTTCTGTATCTTGGTAATGACGTGGATTTTTCTTTCCCCGGAGCCCGGTGGGAGCGGGCAGGATGGAGGCAGGAGCCCTCGGAACAAGTGCGGGCTCCCGGGCACTTGACCCGGCCCGGGCACGGCGGCATCCGCACGGCCCGGCCCAGCACCCACGAAGTTCCCCGAAAGGCCCTTCCGGGTGGAGCCGGACTGGAAATCGCCCAGCGACAATTCCCTCTCCATATCCTCTGTCTCCCTCTTCCCCCTCCGCCATAGCCCACCTCTCTCCATCGCCCCCTCTCCTCTCCCTGCCCGGCGCTGCCGACGAACGCGCCCATGAGTGTGTGCTCCTGGGCTGGGCTGTGGAACCCTCTCCGGCCAACACCTGAGTGCCCGTGTCCCCCTCCCCGCAGGGCTGAGCTTCCCTGCACGCCCCAGCCGACTACAAGGGGCAACAATAAAGCCGATGTCCATCATGCCGCCTTTTCATTTCGGAAAGGGCAGATCCTGACCTCGGTTCCTCAAGTGGAAGCTTGTCTTGGGCACTCACTGTTGTCACCATTTGCTCCAACATTTAAACAGATGTATATTCATACATATTTCCCCCCTATTTGCCATCCAGGCTTTTTTTATTTCTTCCATTTTCCCCCTCAGTCGAAGGGGAAGCTCCCCGGTAATTGCAGGGGCAGGAGAGCGGCGTTCAGGGGGACAGTGGCACCCGGGCACACACCTGAGCCACACGCCCACGCCTTCGCGTGGGAACCCGCTCCCACCATTCAGCTCCCAAGAAAACTGTTGATCCCTAAGTGTGAGCCCGAACCTTTGCATTTAGTGCTCACGGCTGCTTCGTTTCCTCCCTCCCCCAGCCCTTTCCCCCCGGCTCCGTGCCCGTGTTGGGGTATCCAGGGGTATCCAGGTCCCCCCGGTGGGCCGGGGCAGGTGCAGGGCGCGGGCGGCTGCGCCAGGACGGGATCGCTGCGGGGGCACAGGAGAGGGACGTGCACTCCCTTCTCAGCCAATTGGACAAGAATGGGCTCTGTTATTATTGTTGTTGCTTTTTCTGTTAGTAATATTATTGTTATTGTTGTTGTTGTTGTTACTATTATATTAATTTAAAAACTATCCCGTTGCAACTTGCAAAGAGCCTGTAAATTTACCTTAAACCTTCTTTTTTTTTCCTAGCCAATGGTGTCAGGGGCCGGCTAGCCTGTCCCTCCAGAGCATTAACCCTTGTCGCTAGCTGGAGTGAGTGAGAAGCTGAGGTTTGGCCCTGAGGAGCCGTGTGTGTAGATCTGGCACAGCTTTGCTCCCTTAACTCCTGGATCTTTGTTTTGGTGGCGACCAGGGAGAGCAGGGAGCGCTGTGCTCGCATTTCCCTCTGGCTTTTACACACGCACACACACGCACACACACAAATCCCCTTTTCCAACTTTCTGCTTTTTGCGCTTCCCTTCCAGTTTTTTCACTTCTCAGACCTACTGGCAGCATTTGCCGAGATCTAGATCCCCGTCGTGGTAAGTGATGCTTTTCTCCATTGCAAAACTCGCTCAGCTCTCGGCTAGCTGTCCCAGGGATGGGTGTAGAAGTTGTATTTGTTTGGAGCAGAATTGCCCAACCCCAGTGGTTTCACGTCAAGCAGCACAGAGTAAAACTATTGTTGTGTATTAACTCTGAATGGGAGCAAACAGACCAAATAATCACTGCTGGCTCCGACAGTAGCACGGCACTAATGTAATTCTTTTTAAGTTTGAAAAGCAACTTCTCTTTTTCTTTTCCTTTTTTTTTTTTTTTTTTTTTGGTTGTTATGGGGAAAACGAGCCTGTGTTTTCGGTCGGAACTTACATATTTACATTACACACCAGATCATAACAAACTATACAAAGAATGCAGCTGCCATATGTGCTTTGTGAACATACAATTATGATTGGGGGGTTCAAGCATTCAACTTAAGTATTGCAGACACACTGATACCACTCTGCAAGGTTCGTGCAGTACCTGAAAACTCACTCCATCTCTCCATCTTTGGGAGAAGGGCTGGACAGACGTTGCATTTTTAAAACCTCTTTTTTTTTTTTTTTTTTTTTTTTTTTTTTTTTTTTTAATAAATCAACTTCAGTAAATGCCTCCTGGACGTTTATTTTTAATGTACAGTCTGCAGCTCTGACTGGATCAAATTCACGATTATTCAGATGAGGTTGAATTTGAATAACTTGCTGGTTTGTCTCCCCCGCCCTCCCCCATCACACACCCCCCTCCTCTTTTTTTCCCTCTCTCTTTTTTTTTTTTTTGTTTGTTTGTTTTAAAAATTAAGAAAATGAAGAGAACCGCTGAGTCCAGCTGACCTTTTGCTGACATAATGTAGCAGGAGACCGGTCGCAAATGAGGCCTGGATAAATTAGACGCTCTAATTCTCCGGGTAAAGCGATACTCAGCGCCCGGCTCGGGGCGCAGGGAGTCGGGCTGGGGCTGCCCCGGGCCGGCGGCAGGAGCGCGGTGCCGGCGGAGAGGCGCGGGGAGCCGCGGGCACCGCCAAGTTCAGGGCTCGTCCCCTCCGAGCCCGGAGCCGGTGCCGCCCGCTATGGCTCCCTACGCGGCTCCGCCATCCGCAGCCACGCAGAGGCCGCGGGTGGGCACGAGTGGAAGGATCGCGGCCGGGCCCGGGCTCGGCGCTGCCGCCGCCCCGCTCCGCGCCCACGGGAGCTCAGCCCGGCGCCGCCGCTGCCCTCGGGGCCGGCCCGGTGCGGCCGCTCCGCCGGCGCGGGCAGTGATGCGCGGCTGGATCGAGGGGCGCGCAGGCGGCCGCGGGGGCGCGGAGCGGGGCCAGCCCCCGCCCCGGCTGATCAGCTCGTCAGGGTTTATCTCGTCAAGTTGTGCAGGACGGTACTGACGTGACAAGGCAAACTCTGGAGAGGGATTAATCTCCAGAAGTTGCTGTCACAAAAAGGAAAAAATAAGGCGGAAAGAAGAGAAGGAATCAGGGTTTCGTATTTTAGGCGATCATTTGTTGAGCATCTGCCGGCTCTGCTGCTCTACTCGGGCTGGCTGGCCGGTGGATCGCTGTTTTAGAGGCAGCGGAGCGTTCTGGTGGCGCAGACTGAGGTCCTTTCCCCGCGAGAAGAGGCGAGCGCCGCTGCAGCGGGCGGCACGGGCAGGGCCACGGCGAGGGGCCGGTCCTGAGCTCCTCGGGCAAAACTTCCAGCCCAAGCGGGACCGAGCGCTTCCCTCCTCTCTAATGAGTCGCCTCTGCTAATAAATGGTGACTTTACTCAGGTTCCTCAGCGGGTTGCAGCTGAGTCCGAGACATTTTTATCCTATATTCCAAGACGTGTTTTAATAAAACTATTATAACGTTGGCATTTTATTAGGAGCCTATTGTTTCCAAATTAATTCTTGATCTATTCCTACAAAACTGGATTCACCTCTGTGCACCCCTTTCTTCATCTACATGCATTTTACTACTAAGAACCTAGCTCTACATTTCCCTGAATCATCAGACCATTAATTTGCTAGGGAGCTAGCTGTTCCACACAGATGGATATGATTCGGAATAAACTCAGAAGAAATGCAAAAACATGTACTTTTCTGTCATATTACTCCTCCCCCCCTCCTTTTTTTTTTCCCCTTTCCTCTTTAGTCGGTTTGTGTTGAGCAACGCCTTCAGAAACTTCATTATCTAAAAGGCAGACCCAGAGGGCAGGGACTTTGGAAATAGTTCCCTTTTATTCTGAAACTGTCCAAACTCAGAGCAGGGTTGAACATGTCCTCAAATCTGCACCTTCCAGGAAGAAATGAATGATGTGCCAGACACTTCACTTCTAGTCAAAAAAATATAAACCAAATGCTGTGAGGTTCAGAATTCTTTCTCAGGCCTATTTTTTGTGTGTATTTTACAGTCTGAATGTAAAATGGTCCCCTCAGAAGTTGATAAAAAACTAATGCAGATGTTATAGTATATCTTTTGCTCTGTTTTATTACAAGTAGATTTTACTAAAAATTCATATGAAAAGAAAATGGACAGCCAACCTGAGAGGATACCTTTGCAGGCTGTAGGCCAAGCAAGCTCAAAAAACTCACGTTAGATTTTAAGTTGGACTAGGTGTAATATTCTGAAAAAAAATCCCCCTTCCCCCTTCTTCCCCTCCTTTCTTTCCCCCCTGTCCCCCATGCAAATAGATATATTTTGCACTTAAAATTTCACCCTCCTTTGACTTTCTTGAATGGTGAAAGTTTACACCCAGGTCAGCATGAAGCACTCTAACAGACTGTGGTTTGCAGTGGAATTTTAGGTTTCAAGGTATTGCACATAAAAAAAAAATCCCAACAGAGCAAGTGTAGCTTGTGCCTGACATCTAAAAGGGCTGTAATCTAGGAAACACCCTGAAAATGTTAATCTGCTAGATAACACATAGTACAGAATAGAAACGTATTTCCATTAGCTCTGCGATACAAATCAAGAAACATTGTTAATATGTAGGATTGAAAAATCAAGAATTTGTAAATACAATGCCGGCGTACAGCATTTGAGGGAATTTTTTCCTATTTATAAAAAGTAAGTGTTTAATTATTCAGGTTCAGATTTTCCTCGTTGTATCTTCATGCTTTATTGGCAGGTTTAGGAAGGGGGGTTATAATACAGGCAGTTACAAGTCTAATGTGAGTGTCTATGTTTGAATCAAAATCATTATCTTTCACATAGGTGAGTGAAGCAGGTTATACATGCTTATAGCAATTTTTGTGTCAGTCACATTTTTTGATCCATTTATATTTTGTTATTTATTTTTATTTACCATTTCTGCTTGTTGCAGGACTTTCACTGAGATGAATATCCCTAATACGTGCATTTATAATCGTCTTGTTAGTTTGTTTGAAACACTCAGGAAATTTTGTTAAAACTAAAATGAAAATACTTTTAATGCTCTATTAGTTTTCTGTTGTGACATTTGTTGGAGTTGTCTAGCCTCTAGGTACGTTTGGTCAATATACATTGTGGTTCATACTTCCACAGACAATTTTAATCAGACAGCAAATTGTTGAATGTTCCCATAAGGAGCAGTGGACAAAGGCTACCAGGAAGGGTGACTACATTAAATTGGCAAAACATGAGGGCTGAAATAAGGGACTGAAGCAAACCACACTGAAATCAATGGGAGACTCCATTGAGCTGGAACAGGCTCAGTGTAAATCACTGCACAGGTACGGCGCTTCTCGTCTCTTTCCAGCTCTGGTTTGGTTTATAGTGTGTTGTTCACAGGTAACATTCTAGGTTAAAATTATTTACAGGTAACATTCTGGATTGAAATTTATTGATTTATGTCTGGCATAAAAAGGTCTGTGTTGGGATGCAAGTGCAGATAAGAAACCTGGACTGGTATTGCAGAGCTGATGGAAATGACATGCAGATCACCTTATCCAAGCAAAGGTTGATTCTAGGATACTTCTTAAAATATTGTTTTTTAGCCAAATGTGTTTTTGTAGGAATGCAGTAACTATAGAAAAGATTTGGTCAGGTACTTTCTAGTATTTTTTTTTCCAGCCACATGACTGAAAGTTGAAGATTGCCCAGATTACCATAGCTATATTCTTCCTTGTCAACGAGGGACCCCCCTCTCTCCCGCTGCTCTCTCAGCCTTAGCATGGTCCTGCAAATATAACATAATAATTAATTCACTGCTAATATTGAAACTTGACTGTGAAAAAGATGTTTTCTGCTAGGAGAATTGAATGCAGTAAACACTGCTACAGCAAATGGAGTGTTTCTGTTGGGATATGCTATAAATGGTGTTTAGTCGGTTCCCAATGGAGCCATAAGTTTAGGATCAGATCCTGCTTAATATCATATTTCTCCTTCTCATGATACTTATTGACTGTAGCAAAAAGCACAGCTATTTAAAAAACCCTGCCCCTTAAAAAATATATGGACTTTCTTATCTAGAAAATCTTGGTAATCTTGGTATCAAGGAATTTTAAATTTTCTGCACACATTTGCAAAGGACTTAGAGACCCTTTTACAAACTTAGCCTCATACTTAGATACTCTCTCCTTTTTAGTTCTATTGTGTACTGAAGAATAGCTCATTTAATTAAAAAATCCTAACAGCATGAAATTGTGGAGTGCTGTCAATAGTTGCAGAGAAAGGGACAAATTCTTGTTTTCTTATTCTGGCAAAATTTCCGATTGGTGCTATGTTTTTTATGAAGCTTGGGTATATACTTCAAGACCCCACCAGTAATAAAGAAAATTGTTTTACTCTTGCTTAAGCATTTCCCTGCTGAATGATGGTAGCAATCAGAAAACTGCATGCTCCTAGTTTTTTTTATGTCATAAATGAAGAAGTGTTAAAATGAAATCCTAAGTGTTTCAAAAAGCTGTAAACAACTCACTTCTGATATGAATCTGTGCAGAAACAATCTGTCCATCCTCTTCCAAGAAGGACTTTGAGTTAAACTATAGGATAAGTTCTGCAGCCTTTTAACTTTTGTCCAGCCAAAGCTAATATATTATTTCTACCTGTAAA